GTCCCTGGAAACGGACTCCGTTCAGAATCTGTGTTTTCCACCTTTTAACAAGCTCTCTTTTCAGACCTCTGATATTTGAAAATGCAGGAGTCATGCTTACAGTATTTTCCTTGAGCTGTATTTGTGTTTCATATTTCTGCCACATTCTATAAGCGGACCGTATTTACGCTTCAGTGATCTGTTGTCTTTTCCTTAGCTATAGATCATGCTTTTCTTAATTTGACACACATTCAAACAACCTGAGATGAATTTTTAAAAATGTCTCTTCATTTTACTCATGGGTCTCTAGCTCACATTTATATCTTGAGTTATGAAGGATCATATTTAAGTACATATGGAAGGAAAGAGTGTCACTGTCAGGAAGTGTAAAAAGCAATCCAGGATCTACCAGCTACTTGCTGTTGACCTTGGGTAATTCATCCAACCTCTCTGAGTCGTAGCTTCCTCATCTCAACAGTGGGTTAATTAGCCCTATCCTCCCTGCTGTTATGTCTCAGGGAAAAATGAAAAAAAAATATGGGAAAATATCCTGAAATTCTACAGTAGTCTTTGTCACACTGTCATACATGTACAAGCATTAAAATTTTGACCAAATCCACATTATAACTACACTATTTAGTAAATACCTTTGCATTCAGCTTACTTTTTGTCTTAACTTACATACATTTATTTATAAAGGGAAATTAGTGGAAAGGAAATAAAGAGAGAGAGAAATGTAGGATGGATCATGGCCCAGAGAGAAAGAGTTGCTCAATGTATGTTCTAGAGAAGAACAGACAGGAGTGAATCTCTGACTTAGGGACCAATTTTCCACTGTATTGGATCAAAAGGTGGGATGAGTAAGGATGAGGGAGACCTGAGGCAGTGGGTTGACCCACTGAAGGAAGCGAAATCTAACCCGAAAGGGGAGATTGAGGAAGGGAGGGACAGGGACTGAGAGGTGTGGGGTGTCTGTGGCTTATGGCTGAGTGGTAAGATGAGGCAGTGTTGGTAGGAAGAGGCCTTGACTGAGGAAGAAGAGTTAGGGGTTTAAAGAAAAGTTTGGTTAAAGGAGGTCATATAAAGGTCAAGGTTGAGGGACTGGGGGAACCTGAGGAAACCTAATGCTGGTTTGGTAATGAGGGAGTGTTGAGAGAGTTAAGGGAAGGGGTGCTGATGAGGGGTGGTGAGGGATGCTGAATAGGACTTGAGAAATCGAAGTTGCCATGGTGATGCTACAGCAGGATAAGCCAGGGTACCTGTTTGGAAGTGGGCAGGTTATCGAGGAGAGGTGGTAATGGAGTATGTGTCCTCATTATTTCAAGTTTCATAGGTTTTCTTCCTGGGACTGGACTCTAAGAGCAGGGGTGGCCATGAACAAGTGCTAAAAACACGCAATGTATCACACATGTCCTACATTAAATTGTTTTGTATATTCGATACTACCATAGGTATATGTACCACACTCAGGAAATACCTCTTTTAAGCATTCCCCAAATATTTGGAATTATTTATAATTAGCTCTTCAAACACACTTTGACTTTGCCATTCTCCTTCATTCTTCCCTGGTCGACATATCCTGGTATCTAGCAACTCAAAATGATCCCATGGGCGCAGTTGCCTAAATATCGATATGGTGGCTCAGGGGGCAGGTAGAGGATTGGCCTTGGTAAAGTTATAAACTTGTTGAAGTTCAAACTCAGAATACCTTTTAACATCTGGTAATCGGAAATCCTCCCCCCTTTGGATTTTCATTTGGGCCTTTCTCAAAAAAGTGAAAAGTTCTTGTTCTCACAACTTTGGCTTAGATAGGAGAAGGTTTGAAATAAATGCAGTGGAAACAGTTACGTCATAAACTATTTCAAGACCTGTCCTAAAATGGGAACTCTGGGAAATAGCTCGGTGCTCCATCTTGCTGGATTCCTACACTGGAAAGCTGAGGACAAAAGAGGATTAAGTGTCCTAAGCATTATCTTGGGATTTGCGTTTCATGCCTGGGAGGCCCACGTCCACAGTTCTGCCCAAGCACAGGAAGATAGCCCCAGCTCTAAGCCTGACCTATATATCTCTGGCTAGAGCAGGGTCACGTAACAGGACATTGGTCATGGATGATTCTGAGCTGTTGTATCAACAGGGGGAAACAATGAGAACATGGTTTAACAAGAGAGAAAAAAAACACTCCTGCAACTCTCCCTATTTTCCCCTTTTTTCCTTCCCTTCCTTTCCTTCTCCCAAGGCTAAGATTTAAATTTAAATTTGGGCTCCTTTGCAGAATCCTGTAAAAGTCTGCTTATTTAATATAAACCTAACCACTGTGCTTTTGCATATCCATGATCAGTGCTTGGGCTGAGATGGTAAGGTTCTGAGGCTGGAGGGGAGGTCAAAAGTCATCAAATTCAGTCCCCTCGCTTTGAAATGAGAAACTTACAGGCCAGAGGGGTGCAATAACGTGCCCAAGGTCACCCAAATGGTTTGCAGCAGCATCAAGCCTGGGTTGCAGTTCCTTCCCTCCATCTGTTGTAAATCCTCTTGGACAGGCTTTGTGGCAAACTACCAGGGAAGCTTATTGGAAAGCAGTTAAGAACGTTAGACCGTCTGCAGATGTGATTTTAAAGGTTATTTATTTGTTTTACTGCGGATCATGACTTCCCCTCCATCCGTCTTCTTGTTCCAGGGCCAGATTCTGCCCTTTGATGTTCTTTGTGGCATTCTCGTTGCCTTTGGCCTGAATCAGAAGTAGGGCTTGACCCAAAGCTACTGGTGCCTTTATTTGCCCTCAGAGGACTTCCCCTCCCCCCAGGAGGCTCTGAAAAATCGGCTTCTTAGAATTACTTTCTACACAAGATGTGTTTTGCTGTGTTTGTGTCATAGAATCTCGGAGCTGGAGGAGACCTCTAAGGTCATTAATCCAACCCCCAACCCAGTTCAGGCATGTCTTCCAAAAATTTCCTGGCATATGGTCACACAGTCTTATGACTGGGAGGTACATTGGGGACCAAAGAATATCTTGGTTTCTCTTTGTAGGTAAAGAAGCTGAGATTCAGAGAGGTGAAGTCATTCATCCCCACGCAGGCAGAGGAGCTAGAATTGTAATTCTGGCTTCTGACCCTGAGTCTGTAGCTCTGTCTATTGTGTCATGCTCCCCTTGATTAAATGCTTCCAATAATTGTTCAGTGAGTCATCTGTGTATTAATTTGTTAATCATCATTAACGTACTAAGCCCTTATTTTGCCCAGTACTAATAGTTTAGGCAGATTGACAGTGCAGCAAGAAGAAAAACCCATACATTGATGTCTTTATTCCCTAAGACAGTCATTCTTTCGGAGGTTGTACTAGTTTTCTTATGCTGCTATCACAAATGATCACATACTTGGCGTTAGACAACACAAATTTCTTATCTACGGTTCTGGAGATCAGAAGCCTGAAATGAGTCTCACTGGGTTAAAATCAAGGTGTTGGCAGAACTGTGTCCCTTCTGGAGGCTGTAGGGGAGAACCTGTTTCCTTGCATTTTCTAGCTTCTAGAAACTGCCTCCACTCACTGGCTCTTGGCATGATCCCTCTCTCCATCTTCAAAGTGCATCACCCAATTCTGACCCTTTCTCTTTTGCCTCCCTCTCTCCTTTATAAGGCTCTTGTGATTACATTCAGCCCACCTGGATAATCCAGGCTAACCTCTCCAGCTCAAGATCCATAATTTAATCACATCTGCAAACTCCCTTTTGCCATGTGAGGTAACACAGTCATAGGTTTGTAGGATTAGGATACAGCCAAATGTGGAGGACTATTATTCTTCCTACCACAAGTCACACACAAAGCAGTCCAGAGATGTCACCAACAGATATGAAAAAGGGAAGTCTTTGTGGAGAACTGATCCTTGAGCCAAGTTGTCAGGGATGCGAGAAGTTCGCCTGCCAGGACAGGTGACATTGAGTGTGACAAGTTGAAACAATAGTATGTTTAAAGCTGCCCAGATATGACACTGAGCACATCGCACTTCTAGGGACTGCCCGGTCGCTCAGTTTTCCCTATGAAAATCTCAACAACTTGCACACATAAGCCAATTAGGATTAGAGATGCAATGTGATAACCCAACTAACTCAAGGTAGCGTTGTAAAAGGTGCATATTTTCATAAAGGTTGAAAGAGGAGGGATATAATGAGAGAAGGAGGTTTGCATTTCAAGTCTGTTGTTGAGGGACTTGGATAATCAGAAAGGGTCAGGTGGTCGGGACCGACCAAGTAGATTGACTAGAGAGAGGGAGAGAGAGGAGAAGCCTAAAGGATAAGAAATAGTTATTTTAAGAAAAGGGAGCATCTACAGCAAATACAATCTTCTCTGGGTTTCGACTATGTGATTCCACAAATCATACATGTTCACTGTTGCCAACCAAACCCTAGAAACTGCTTGGTTTTGATACATCCAACAATGATTCTCAAACTTCATCATTATTTGAAAAATAATTATTTGAAAAATCAGTTATTCGAAAAATCCCTTTGGGTGGTCTTCGGCTATACTTAATCATTTTGACTTTTGCTCAGTTCACGGCAAAGAAAATAAACAGATTGAAAAGAATTTTTTTCAATTTAAAAGTTTTCTCTCATAATTCTTTTTAGCTTCCTTCAACTTTCCTGCTAGCAAGTACATCCCCAAATGAATGGATGGTAATAAATGGAAAAATGCAGATTTAGTGCTAGGTTTTGGGATGTGAAGAACCACAATATGTACGAAAGAGTCCTATTTCTGATTTGCTGTGAATAGATGTGCCCATAATTCTTTGGGCCCCACAAAGGACATCACGATTCCCACGTGTTCTGTTATCACAATTTAGATGACTACTATATTTTTATCAGCAAGTAGTTATTGGTACTAATCAAGGGACTTGAGAACATGGAAAACACTCTGAAAATACAGTTTCAGATCTGGGACCTAGAGACAAATTAGATGAGGTTAATTTTTTCAGCATCCTCCAATTTACTACGAAGTGATTTACTTTATCCTTTATCTCCTTTAATTCTCTAGCCCAATTGTGTACAAAAAGAACCAAGAAGAATGCAGAGCACACGGTAGTAGTTCAGTCAATGATTATGGAATAAAGAAGGAAGAAAATGAAGGCAAGAGCTTGCAGTAAGTTGTGCAGAATCACAGAGCTACTACGGACAGAGCTGAACTTGAAGTCACGTCTAACTAGTTCCAAAGTCTTTGCAGTTTGCACCCCAAAAAGCTGCTGATGCCTGGAGAAAAATAATGGCTAATATTTACTAAATGTTTACTGTGTGTCAGATACTGTTCTAACTTCTTCACATACATTAAATGATTTCTTCCCGCTGGAAAAAAACAAAAACCTTTGTGGTAGATACTATTAATAGTATCCCCATTTTCCAGATCAAGTTACAGAGACTTTGAGAGTTATGGAATTTTTCCAAGATTCTAAATTTTGTAAATTATTGAGAGGAAGTTGGACACAGGCAGACTTACTCCAGAGCCGTCCTTGTTATTCAGAGTGAACCTGGCTTATGAAACAAGGACTACAGAAGTGTTAAGAGTGAGGGCACAGCCAGCTTGATGAGTGGAGAATGGTGGTCATAGACAATCTGAGTTGGAAAGCATTTTAGTGGTCACATCCCACCCAAACCCGCTTATCTGGTAGCTTAAAACCATGTTCACTGGAGCCTTAAATATCTCCTAATGGCACCTCAGGCCTCCTGCAGAGTCCAAGGGTACATCAGTTATGCTCTTGCCCATCCTGGTTTTCCTTTTGTCTGCTATACATTTTATGCTTTTCTATATGGATTAATTTGAATAATGGTTCTCTAGCTTTAAAAGCTTGAAAGTCTCTCTCCTATTTATGACATCTGGGTGTGGTCATCCAGCCATCCTTCAATACTTCCACTAGTGTGGAATTTATTACTTAGTAAGGTTGTTTATTCCAATTTCTGATATATTGGAAAGCTCTTTGCTTTACAAGCCAAATTTTATCTCCACATAAGACCCATATTTCCAAAGCAAATAGCATTCATTTGATGGCCTAAAGTGTGGTCTATCTTGATGAATTTTCCATGCTGTTGTACTCTGCTGTTGTTGAGTGGAATGTTCTATAAATGTCAACTGGGTAAAGCTGGCTGATAGCGTTGTACAGCTCTTGTGTATCTTTATTGATTTCTTGAACACTTGTCCTAGCAATTAATGACACAGAGGCACTGAAGGCTCCAACTTTAATTGTGGATTTGTCTATTTCTCCTTTCAGTTCTATCAGTTTTTATTTCACTTATTTGGAAGCTCTATTACAGGTGCATAAACATGTAGGCTTTTTTTTGTCATCTTGGAGAATTGATCACTTTGTCATCATGTAACACCTGTTTTTTCAACCCTTGGTGATATTCCTTATTCTGATCTTTGATATTAATATAGATACTCCAACTTTTTAAAATTAGTGTTTGCATGTTATATATTTTTTTTCATCCTTCCACTTTAAACGATTCTGTTTTTCTATCTAAAATGTAGAAAACATACATTGGGTCTTGCTTTTCTTTATCCAGTTTGATAATCTGTCTTTTAATTTGTGTGTTTAGATCATTTATAGTTACTCTAATTATGTGATATGGTATGATTAATATTTACCATCTTGCTGGTTGTTTTCTACTTGCTCATGTCTTTTTTACCCCCTATTTTCTACTTTCTTTTAAATTGAGAAATTTTAAATGATCCTATTTTTGCCTCCACTATTGCTTTATTTTTGCTATTTCTTTTAAAAAATACTTTTCGTGGTTACACTAGAGTTTGTAATATACATTTTTAGCTAATCTGCATCTACGTTCAAATTATATGATGCCACTTCAAGTGTAGTGTAAGTACCTTAAACACACTATGCTCTTCGTTCCTCCCACCCATCCTTTGTGCTGCTGTTGTCAGGTATTTTACTCTTACACATTCTACATATATACAATGTATTGCTATTTGTTATATACTTTATATATTTTTTATATACTTTAAAATACTTTAAAAAGAAAAAATGAGCTTTATATTTACCTTTATTTATTCCAATTCCAATCCTTTTCCCTTCTTTATGCAGACCCCAATTTCTATCTGATGTACTCCTTCTGCCTAGAGAATTAGTTTCATTCAACATTTCTTATACTTCAAACCTGCCAGCAATGAATACTTTCAGTTCTTATTCGACTGAAAAGGTCTTTATTACACTTTAATTTTTTAAAATATTTTCACTGGGGAAACAATTTTGGTGGACACTTTTTTTCTTTCAGCATTTAAAGATATTACTCCATTATCTTCTGACTTGCATAGCTCCTGACAAAGTGCCTTTACTCTTATTTATATGTTTCCCACCCCTCTGGCTACCTCCAAGATTTTCTCTGTCTTTGGTCTTCACAGTTTGAATATCATATGTACAGATGTGTGTGTGTGCGTATGGGTGTGCGTGTGTGTGTGTGTGTTTTGTATTTATCCTGCTTCATATTCTCTGAGCTTCCTGGATCTGTAGTTTTGTATCTTTCACTAATTTTGGAAAATTCTCACGCAGTATGTCTTCAAATATTCCTTCTGCTCTATTCTCTCTCTTTTGCATCTAGAATCTAATGACATATATGTCGAGCTCTTAATATTCTGCTACAGCTCTTGGACGACCTACTGTTTTTCACTTTGTGTTTCATATTGTGTGATTTCTCTTTATCTACCTTCAAGTTCTCTAATTCTTCAGCTGCATCAAGTTTACTGAGGAGGTCATCAAAGGTATTCTTCATCTCCATTCTAGTGTTTTCTAATTGATTCTTTCCTAAAGTTTCCATCTCCCTGCTGAAATGATCCATCTGATCGTGCGTCGTACGGATCTTTTCCGCTAGACTCTTTAACATCTTAACCAATTGTTTTAAAACCCCCTGACTGACATTTTCAACGTTAGTTTTATTTCTGAGTCCAGCTCCATTGATTGCTTTGATTTTTGACAGAATGTTGTTTTATCTTGTTTCTTTGTATGCTTCATGACATTTTATATGACAGTAGAGGCAGGTATATAATCTTTACCCCTGGAAATTGGTATGCCTTTTCTTTTGCCAGGGCTTTCAGGGAGAAGGAGTGTTGTTTTGAGTCAATCAGGTCAGGAATTGAGCTGTAAAATGTATTTACAGTTGCTATCCTTACCCTTCCTGCATCACAGGCTCAAGTTCTAGTGTTACCTTGTGTCTAGGGTGGAGGCTGGTTTGCAAGATGGTTTCCCTCAAGGTCTGCTCCACTTTCAGCTTCAAGTCTTCTCTTTTCTCTGGTTCCTTGAGGTGTTCACTTCCCGTTCTCTTGTCCTCTCTTGGCAGTAAATGGCTGCTGGTTGGTGTGAAGGCAGAGGATGTTCCCTGTTGTTTTGATTGAGACTCGGGTAGGTACTCTGTCCTTGACTCTTGGAACACAAGACTTTTGCGTGATCTTGCCCTTCCTTAAGCTGTAAGGGACCTCTTGGTTTGGGTCCCGGATATATTCCTGCCCTTCATCCAGGGATAGAGGGTCCTTTTTGTTTCCTTTCCCAGCTGCAGTGAGTCTTCACCACTGTCCAAAGCCAATACTCTTTATTGCTCTTTCCTACAAGCTTAATGTTTTTATTCTGTAAGGTAGGGTAGATGGATCTAGGAAGGGCTCATGCCTTTCCCACGGTGGCTGCTGGCTGATTCTCGGAGGCCTGTGCCATGAGGAAGACTTTCTTGGGATTCTCACCCTGCCTCCAATCACTCCTGTGAGCACCTGATGAGGTCTGTTGAGGACAGCCAGTTAGTGGGTGGGAATTACCATGGTGCCAGGGGTTCTGTAATCTCACATTAGCCCACACTTGGCCTCTAGCAATTTGTTAAAGTTTTAGCTGAATTCTTATTAACAGCTGCTATGGCTCCTGGTAGCATTTGTCCTCAGTAAGCAACTGTTCATGCCCTGGCTTTTCTTGAAGGCATCTTCCTTTCTTTTGATTTGGGGTTAGTCGGTTGTCCTGTGACCTCAGTACCCTGGTTCAAAAGACATTGTGAATTTGCAAATCTTTCAGCATTGTGTTTATAGTACTTGTGGCAATGCCACTCTTTCCCACTTTCTACATCCTAAGTAGATGCCAAAAGTCTTTCACAGCATTCTTCTGGAGGAAGTCACAGACACAAATGAGAGCTTTACTTTGGGCTTTCTCTCTGTCATTCATGGAGTTGAATTCAATAAGCACTTTTGGGCATCTGGAACGCCCAAGTCTTACCATCAAACAGTTCATAGTCTACTAGGAGTGATAAATGCAACAACAGATAATTTCTGAATAGCACACAGGTGCTAAGGTAAGGGTAATCTGTGCTAGCAAGTAAGGGGGGTGGTAAATGAGGCACAACCCAGGTAAGAGACAAAGGAGCTGTCCTAGGGGAGACGACGCCTACATTAGTTCTTAAAATAAAAACATTTTCCCAGTGTAGAAAGCTGGGTAAGGCCTTCTAGGCAGAAGGAGCAGAATGGTCTGAATTATAGAGTTAGCATAATTTGTGCCTGAAAAAGATGAAATGAAATATTCCTGAGTCGTATTCATAGAAATTTTGATATAGTTACTCCAGGGCAAGGTTCAGGAATGTGCACAAAATGTCCAGAGGACTCTGATCTATCAGCCCAGTTTGGGAAGCCCTGCTTGCTTTTCAGGCTTCATTTGCCCTCCTTGGTTATCATATTCAGCCTCTTAGTTTCCGCTCTTCACCTGAGAGTAAGACAGTTGAAGGCTACGTTCCAGGGGATGAGCATGGAGAATACTGGAGAATACAGAACACTGCCTTTTCAGTTGGGTTTAAATCCCAGCTGTGGCACTAGGTCACACTTGGCTGATTTTAGTTTTCCTCATTTTTTTTTTTTTTTTTTTTTGCGGTACGCGGGCCTCTCACTGTTGTGGCCTCTCCAGTTGCGGAGCACAGGCTCCGGACGTGCAGTCTCAGCAGTCATGGCTCACGGGCCCAGCCGCTCCGCAGCATGTGGGATCTTCCCAGACCGGGGCACGAACCCGTGTCCCCTGCATCGGCAGGCGGACTCCCAACCACTGTGCCACCAGGGAAACCCAGTTTTCCTCATTTTTAAATGGGAAGAATAATATTATCTATGATTACTATTTTACTACTAAATTAAGGCTACCAGTGAAAAGACTTTTGTAATGGTCCTGGGATAAGACAATAAGGGTCTGAGAAGAAGAAAGAAAAGATGGCTCTAAGAGACATTAGGATGGCAGAATTGAAAGGTTACACCTTAGTCACTTACTCTTGCTGAAAGCTAACTATGGCAAGTACTGGGTTGGCCAAAAAGTTCATTTGACTTTTGGTAGCATCTTACAGAAAAACCTGAACGAACTTTTTGGCCAATCCAATACTATGAGAAGCATTTGCCTTACATTATCTCATTTGATCTCTGCACTGACTTTGAGATGGGTACAGTGCCATTTTACAAATGAAGAAACTGTAATTCAGAAAGTGTAAGTGACTTGCCTAATGTGACATAACTGGGAGAATGGAGTTATCATTTACTAGGATGAGAAAGACTCTAGAAGGAGCAGGTTTGGGGGTGAAGATCTGCAGCTCCATTCTGTATACGGTAACTCTGAGCTACCTGTTACACGTCAAGTGGCGATGTTAAAGAAGACACATAGCTGTGACTGTGGAGCTCGAA